GGCGCTGGCCCAGCCTGTGCTCTGGGACTTGGAGGGGTTTGGGTCCGTGGCGCCTGCGGGGTGGGACGGAAGTTCAGAAAATTCCTAGATTCCAAGCCCAGGAGGGAGCGTGGGGGCATCTAGTCGGACCTGGGGGCTCGCCGGGGACCTCCTCCCTTGGGCCCCGTCACTTGTGTGTGAGGAAAGCGTCTGGCAGGGAGCCGGCCTGAATTTGGATCGGTGCTGCGTGGGCTCGTGGCCCTGCACGGCCGAGGACTTCAAACCTGCGGCTGGGTAGAGCGGCAGCGTCACCTCTCTGGCTCTGTCCCCGGTCACGACCAGCCTGGAGGGCGTTGCACCAACCCTTGTGCCCGTGCGAGGTTTTACTCACGTGAGGCACCTCACCGGGTTCCTTGCACCACGGAGCTCAACGGGGCGACGCAGGGTGCAGGAAGGGGCCCGCCCACGGAGGAGTCCACCCACAGCCCCGGATGAGCAATTCCCCTCCCGTCAGCTCTAACGAGGTGCTGCCCTCAGTTGTCTTCGGCGCGCGGCTGATCCTAGCCATGGACTCCTTGGGAGAGGGAAGATCTAGGCCTGAGACAAAGGGGAGAGGGATGGAGACAACACCGCAGGCTGGCAATGGGTGGTCCTGTGCCAATGTTAACACAGAGCCGGGACCTCCTGGGCTCTCATCCCCTGCGGGGCACTATGATTGGCTGGCAGGGGTTCTCATCCCCTGCGGGGCACTTCGATTGGCTGGCAGGGCCTGGCTCCCTTTCCCCGGGTACCGGAGGCTGCTTACTGTCCTGGCTCAGGCTGGAGGAGGGGTCGGCAGAATTTGCTCCGTGCTTGGGAGAGAAAAGCCGCCGAAGCGGGAAGCATCCTTCACGCAAGGGCAGGGATCCCCGGGGGAGGGCGGGTGCAGCCAGGCAAAGCAGGCCTGACGCTGGGATCTGCTCTTACAGGCGCTCCCATAGGCCCCAGAGCGACAGGTTGCATCCAAGTAGGCAACTGTGGGGAGGCAGGACGGAGCCAGGGTGCGACTTGCCGAAACCCTCGGACCTGCCTCAATGCAGGGGGCCGGACGGGCTGCCTTCTCCTGCAGCTCCCGGGTCTAGGTTGGTCCCTTGCTAGCGATGGATCTGCCCTGGGATTAGCCGAGTGAGAGCAGGTGAGCGGTTGCGTAGGAGAGGCCTCGAGGGACAGGGGTTTGCGTCACCGGCTCCATCACCACCCCAGGCCCAGACCTGCCCCACAAAACCACCGTCTGCAGGGAAACGACGAGTCACGGAAGGAAAATCCGCCCTGGGCTGGAGGCAGGCGCCCCAACCGGTGAATGTCTTTGGAAGTGGGGTAGCGCCCAGAGAGCAGGTGAGCGGTTGCGTAGGAGAGGCCTCGAGGGACAGGGGTTTGCGTCACCGGCTCCATCACCACCCCAGGCCCAGACCTGCCCCACAAAACCACCGTCTGCAGGGAAACGACGAGTCACGGAAGGAAAATCCGCCCTGGGCTGGAGGCAGGCGCCCCAACCGGTGAATGTCTTTGGAAGTGGGGTAGCGCCCAGGCACTGCTGGCCTGCCCCCCGCTGCAGAAGCAGCCCCCCGCGTCGCACGCCAGGCGCCTGGTGAGCAAAGCGGGGCCTTGGGAACAGGCGAAAGGA